GGTAAAAGATCTTCAAGAAAAATAAATGCCAGGCTATGGTATACCTGGGGCGAGCCATAGAGCAGTGCATATCCACTGACACAGTAATAATAGCCTTCCAAGAAAGAAAATGCTGAACAACTTGTCTGACATCAAAACACTCCTCTGTTTTTCCATAAGAGCATCAATAATCAGGATTCTTTTCAATGTGCTACTGATGCAGGGTGAGATTTTTGGAGGTGTTGAGCAACCACTTCTTCCCCCTCTCCCCACCTCCCCCTCAGCATCAGTGATTGCTGTTAGCAGTTTACAACTCTGGAATTAAAAATTGCTACATGCTCAGGAAGAGGAAGGACATTATGCTTAAAACATGTTTTCCTGGTGTATTTTATTGCAAAACATCTTTAGTGGCTGAAAATGGGTCATGACAGGGACGTGGGGGCTGGACTGCCCCGGTGGGGAGCAGTGGGTTCCCAGAGAAGCTGTGAGAAACGGTGCTATGTGGCAGCTGAGCTAATCACAGGGTCATCTCATCACTTTACCTCCTCCCTAAACTGCGAGCAGCATTCAGAAGAAAAGACATGTAAGAAGGGTGAGAAATCCCTTCTTGCTCTCACACAAGGGGATTCATTGGAGAAAGGTGCTACCAAAGCATCAAGGAGACAGGGAAGCAAAATGCCTTGACTGTGGGGTCCTGTTTGAAGCTAACAGACAGACCAGTCAAGCCCAGTCCTGAAATGTTACGTATTTTCTGCTCAGGCAGTGCTGTAGTTGCTTCAGGTCCACGTTATTCACCAAGAATACAGAACAACGGTTGCCTGCAGCTGACTTACTCACCCACTCTGGAGAGGAGAAAGGGGAGGAGGGCAGAGCTGGGAACACTGAGAAAGAAAATACACAGGTCATAGAGAAAAGCTTGACACTGACTTTAAGGATATTAATTCCTCAATACAGTGGGAAAAGAAAAAGAAAAAGAAAAGAAAAAGAAAAAGAAAAGAAAAATAAAATAAAATAAAATAAAAGGAAAGGAAAGGAAAGGAAAGGAAAGGAAAGGAAAGGAAAGGAAAGAAAAGGAAAGGAAAGGAAAGGAAAGGAAAGGAAAGGAAAGGAAAGGAAAGGAAAGGAAAGGAAAGGAAAGGAAAGGAAAGGAAAGGAAAGGAAAGGAAAGGAAAGGAAAGGAAAGGAAAGGAAAGGAAAGGAAAGGAAAGGAAAGGAAAGGAAAGGAAAGGAAAGGAAAGGAAAGGAAAGGAAAGGAAAGGAAAGGAAAGGAAAGGAAAGGAAAAAAAAAAAAATAAAAGAAAAGAAAAGGAAAGGAAAGGAAAGGAAAGGAAAGGAAAGGAAAGGAAAGGAAAGGAAAGGAAAGGAAAGGAAAGGAAAGGAAAGGAAAGGAAAGGAAAGGAAAGAAGAAAAGAAAAAAGAAAAGAAAAGAAAAATGGTTAAATTATGTATGTGCATATTTGTTTTATAACAAAATAATAGGATCCTGTGGCCAACAGTGAAATATGATTAGCTAGTCACAGGTATTTCTGATATTTCCCTGTAATGAAATGGCATGTTTGAATACAGAGAAGAACGAATAATGAGATTCTTGACTTCCTCTGTTTTAATTGTAAACAAGCAGATGCAATCCATAACGCTAAATAAGATTTCCCCGCATTTCCTTCTGAAAATGGTTTTAAGCAAGATAAGGCACTAAAATTTAATCCTTCTAAGAATGTGCAAATACTGAATCCTTGATGCAGACACAATCTTACCATGAATTTATATGGGAGCTTTAATGGTTTTGTAAATTAATCAATAACGTGGTTAAATTATATTTGCTCAGCTAATTATTTTCCATGTCCTGTAAATTAGAACTTCAGTAGTCTCTAAGAAAAATCAGTCCTGCTGCTTGTATCACACTTGTGTTTACTTACTGATATGCTATTAAAGTGCTTGTTTATTTGTTCTGCTATAGGCTGGTATAGGCTGGTAGGTTTTTCGTTGCTGTTTGAGCGGCAACCATGGGGCTGCAAAGTCATGCAATGATAATTACATTATTATATATTTAATATGCCAAATCCATTTTAGCAGAGAAATACTGTGCATTTATAGCTTCTATTCAAAATCGTCCTTGTCTCACCCTTGGGGGAACAGGATTTTACCACTCTTCTCCCCCAAGAAATCTTCAGGACTTTTTTTGATGACTGAAATGGACCTTGATTGGATTCTTAGCCTCATGACTTTGAAGGGCACAGCTTTAAGCATGCGTTGGATTAGATGACATTCAGAGGCTTCTTCTAACCTGAATTATTCTGTGATTCTACGAATCCAGTCATCCAAGAAGTTTTCCCCACCCGGTTTTCCCAAAGTCCTGTACAGACCCCCATCACTTACGAGGCTGTATGACAGGACTAGTTTGCAGCACGAATTGTGATTTTGGTTACAAGATCCAGACTCTCTCATGCTATAGCAGTCTATACAGTTCCTACATCAATACAGTAAGAGTTAGTGTGGCCTCTCCAAATTAATGCATTGGGAATGTATACATTCTGCCCAACAGAATCAAGTCACCCTTTATTGCTGGCCAGAAAATGACACCCTTCACAGGAGACCAGGGGTTGCAGCAGGAGGAGAGCTATTACCCCCAAGCGCCCTTGCACCTGCAGCGCACCTCACCTTTGGGAGGAGGGCACTGCCCACCCCGCTGTGCAAGCAGGCCAGCAGAGGCACAGAGCACAGCAGAGCGCTGGGGCACGGGGCTGCAGCGTGTAAAGCCCAGGGGCAGTGAAAAATGACATGGGCCTTCAGCTCACACGGCAGTCATGGTCGCTAACTCAGGAGGCTACAGGGCCCCTCCCTTGCCTTGCTCACAGACATGACAAAAGGGGCTCGAACTGCCAGAGGAGGCTGACTGATGGCAAGCAGAAGCCAAAACTGCAAGTACAAATGTATGGCAGAAGCAATGCAGAGCAAGTAGTGTAGTTGCAGTGGGATCAGATACCGCTGAGCACCACAGCAGTAGGAGCAAACCCCAAAAAAACAGATTTCTGCTTGGCTTCTCATCCCTTAAAATGCTTTTGGAGCTGCCATCAGACTAACCGCACTTTTCAGGGCAAGGCATTCAGTGCCTTTGGATTAGGAAAAGCATGCAGACAGCAGGTTTGATTTCAGAGATATAAACAAAACTAAAAGGGCATAATGGAAAGTTGCCTGGCCACAAATCAGGGCTCAAGGGACCAGAAACCGAAGGAGATGTTACCCGCCTTCATCCTTTTAGCATGTCTTTATAAGCAGCAGCCTGCTGCAGAGGTTGGAAAAGCAGGTTGAAAACTAAACTGAATATGGAAAGATTTGTAGAGTGCTTCTTACTTTCCCTTGCCTCCTAACCATAGTTTTATGCACACACACACAGAAACACACTTAGGGAGCATAAAATACTACATGTAAGTGGGACTTTTATCTCTTCTCTATCTTTGATATGCCAACAAGCTGGCATATTTAGCACTGCACTGTTCTATTTTTTTGCATTTACTTTCTGTTTTTGAAGATATATAAATGGCAAGAAAAGAAGTAGAGGCAAGAAAGTTCAAATGAATAGCAGGAGACTAGTATTTCAATATCCAGCTAATTATATCCTAAATTGATCTTTTACAGTGTAACAAATTAGTTCTTGTCTTAACATATGGTGTACTACTTTATAACAAAAAATCCTAGTTTATGCCTATTTTTTTATTTTCCATGTTAAGGCACATGCAGAGATCAGGCTCAATGAAACGCATACATTTGTAGTTATATGAATTTGTAAAAAGAACCCACTGCTACATGCCTGTTTTTTTTTTTTTTCTAGATTTTTGACTGTGGTTTCTGTTGCTCTGACTTTCCCAAATTTCTTCACCTGACATTTTCTGGGATTGTCTCCTGGTCACATCACACAAGAACTCTTGAATGAACAGTTCACCTGCTCTTCATAATTATTTTTTTTTTTTTAATTAAAATGATGTTTTTCTAAAGTATTTGTTTGTACATGGAAAGCTCTAAAAGATCTTTACTTGGAGAGCCAGTGCTTTCCATTGCACTAGACTCCATCATAGGGTAATTGCCAGGTTCGCTTTTGCACAGGAAAACAATTTGCTGCATAGCTTAAGTCACCATTCTGTAGACCTGACTGTGCAATCATTTAAGCACGTGGACATCTCCAGAAGCCTGCCTATCCCCAATACACTCAGTAGAGCAACAGAAATGTATAAAGCTATATATGTATACAGGTATTAGCAGGATTGAGGTCTCTTATTGTTCCTTCTACCTCTTAAATGGTCTTTTGCAGCTTTGATTATCCTCTGCAGAACTGTTTCAGGTTTAGAGTTACTTTATCTTTATCCTTTCGATTTGCTTTGTTCCTTGATCCTGTCACTGCAGTACTCTCCTTCAAGCTTCAGAACAAAAGTACTTTTGGGAGCAGAGGCCCTGTGGCAGGGAGCGGGGCTCTGCTTTCCTCCTGGCAATTTGCCACCAAGCCGAGCCAAGGCAGAATATTCTTGCTTGCTTGGTGCAACAGCTTCAGTAACTGCACCAGTGCACACCTAAGCCTCCCTACTGAGACCAGTCCATTTCCTTAGCACAGGCAAACCTGTAGGCAATAGCTAGAGTTAAGGGAGGGCTTGCTTTTTTTTTTTTTTTCCCTCCAAATAAGCAACTTCAATGCAAAGCATTTTCCTTAGAAGGTACATTTAGCCTAAGTGGCTCTTGCTGGTTTACACACACCCTGTCCTTTCTCTTGCTTTGGAAAGTTGTTCCACTTGATTGCTCAGTTTGCCTCTTTGAGTCAGTGGTGGCAGGGGAATTATAAAGGTGATGAAGGGGCAGGCAAGTCCCAGGTAGTGCGTGCCAGATTTAAGCTGATTTAAAGTTGTGCAGACTGACTCTGAAACTTTCTTTGCACAAGGGACAACGACTTTCAGAAAAAGTTGCTCATTTTTTTGCCAACAGTGTGCGCCTGACTCAGGGAACCTGCTGAGGTGTGCTCACCTTTCAAAGGCAACATGGTCGGTGGTGCTTTGCAGATTGCTGGGCTGCTTGTTGGTGGCATTGGCATGATTGGGACATTTGCTGTCACGGGGATGCCTCAGTGGAGGGTGTCTGCCTTCATCGAGAACAACATCATCGTGTTTGAGACCATTTGGGAAGGCCTGTGGATGCACTGCATCAGGCAAGCCAACATCAGGATGCAGTGCAAGGTCTACGACTCCGTGCTGGCCCTCTCACCGGACTTGCAGGCATCCAGAGGGCTGATGTGTGCTGGCTCGGCGCTCTCCTTCCTCGCTTTCGTGGTTGCCATTATTGGGATGAAGTGTACACGGTGCGGGCAGAGCAGCTGGCAAGCCAAGGGCTATGTTATTCTGACAGCTGGGATCCTCTTCATCCTCTCGGGTGCTGTCGAGCTCATTCCAGTCTGCTGGGTTGCCAACACCATCATCAGTGACTTCTACAACCCCATGGTCAACGTTGCACAGAAAAGGGAGCTTGGAGAGGCCCTCTACCTGGGCTGGGTAGCTGCCTTCTGCCTCATTGCTGCCGGAGCCATATTCTGTTGCTTTTGCCGTTGTGAGAAAACCAGAAGCTACGGATACTCCGCACCAACCTACTACCCCACTCACAGCCAGCATTTGCACAGGAAGACTGAAAGCTCATACTCCAAAAGTCAATACGTCTAGATGCCTCCTGCCTTTTCCTATTTTTGAAGCATTCAGTCTGTCTGGATGGATTTCAGCTTCTGCACAAAAGGGCAGCTAGAAAGCTGCTTTTGCCTTCTGCTCTGTAACTGCTGCTGTTGGGGCTGCGTTTTGGAGCTGCAGTTGCCCCCAGTGTGCTCTGCTGTGGCTAATGCTGTGGCACGGACAATTTTAATGCATGGAAAGGTGAATGTTTAATATTATTTTAATAGTAACTTGGAATAGCTTTTGGGTTGGCTTTGCTTTGGGTTGCATTTTATGTGTAAAACAGTAATAAAAGGCTTAAAGTTCCAATGTGATATGAAATTCTGGCCTATTGCAAAGAAGAGGGGAGTGAAGCAGCTGGTATTTTTTTTTTTTCCTGCCCAGGAAAGAGGGGATAACAGTGAAAAAGGACAAGACAATAATGGTTTAAAAGAAAAGCATTCACTAAGGGATTGATTTACTGTTGGTTTAATGGAAGGTTGCATGAAGAATTTATTCAGCAGAGGAAGGTAAGCTGAAATATATGAAAAGTATCCCTTATTTCAGAGAATAAGCATAGCTCTATATTCATCCTAAATATCATCTTTCTGGTGAAAGTTAATATTTCTTTTGTAATCCATATAGGTCAAACTCATTCACGTCCTTCTTTTTAGAATCAGCAGTATTCCCTTGCAAACTCCTTGTGGTTTACAACATTTTTGCAGTATTGCACAGACCACAAGTACTGCTGCAGGTCTCTGTGATACATATATTTTTAAATAAGGGTCTTTTGTACAGTCAGGCCAATATTTTGCTGAGACCCACTCACACCAGCATAGTTTATAGGCATAAAGAGCATAAACAGTGATAGTATTTTCTCTCAGTTCACATTAAAACAAACTAAACAATATTTTTAATAATAAGATCATGCACCCATGATAAATGACAATGTAAAGGAACCAAGTCTACTGAAAACTAAATAGTTCCATACAAATTAATTTAATAAATGACCCAAATTAATCAACAGTAGTAATATTTTAATAGAATTTTGTAACCAACGAATAAGGTGTAACTCCTGAGCCACAGAAATCAATGGAATTTTGCCTTTGACTGAACTGGGAATACAGTTCAATTTGTGGTGTTTAATGGAGAACAACATTCTTTTTCTAGAGTTTGATTGACTGTTTTAAATATTTTATAGAAAGTTTATTATGTGATCTGTAGTTCTCCACTAAATTCCTTGGACTATTATTACTTGAAAGTTTGGAAACAAATTCTTCACTTCATAAGATGCAACTCTGAACAAGCTAGAAGAAATCAAAATCTGCTCCAGAACTCTCTTCACAGTGTTTGTAAGATACATAGTAAGATGTGCTTGATTATGTAATTTTAGTTTTCCTCTTTATTTTTAAGCAAATTATTTCTACATATGTATATGTGTAATGTGCCTGACCTTTCTGTAATATAGCAGTGTGTAGGTGTATTTCCTTTGTATTCCTTCATTCATGTTTATATGCCAGTCCAGTCTGGTTTTTGGGGGGACGAGAGTGGAGGAGAAAAGCTGTTGTTAGCAGCACTTTCTGAGTATCTTACACAGCACTCATAGCTAGAACACCAGGGCTTGTAACGATGTCTACAATTAAGTCATCTGCCTAGTTCATCACTCTCAAATGTAGGTACAAGATCTTACTCAGAAAACTACATGTATATGTACCCGGTGCACTGTAGTTATCTCTGCTGTCAAAACACAGAGTGACTCATACAGTACTCATCTACAGGTCTGAGGGAAGCCTCAGCGAAAAGTGAGGTAAGCATGACATCTCTGTAAAAGCCCTGTGTACATTGAACACTACTGCTACATGGGATGGTATTATCTGTTCCTGGTAAAGCACACACTGATCTAGTTGTACAAACAAAAGAAGATACAAGAAGACTATAAGAAGTCTTCCAAAACTATCCACAGGACTAGCAGGAACACAAGTCCAATGGACTGTGGGTGGGACCCTGAAGTTTTTGAAAATCTCCCCTAGACATCCTATATATGCTGCAAACAGTTCACCTTATTATAACATATACGTATTCCCCCTTAAGTACCTCCCATGCACATCCAGCCATTTCCTTTAAATTGTATCTCACCCATATACCATATCTTCAAGAGAACTGAAATGAAAGCTTCCATTTTAAACAGAGCTGGCCTCCCCCAGGTTTGTGCATTAAATAAACCCTGAGTAGTCGGAGCAGAGGGTCCCATCTAAGGGCATATATCCAAGCACAAAACAACTGCCTGAAGCAATAAACTTTCAAATATTGTATCCTGTAATTTAGAGCTCATTTTCGTGCTTACAGACAAGAGAAATTATTTGGGAAATAAGCAGTGTTGCCTCCATAAATGAAACCAAAGGTGTGCAGCTTGTTCCCATTTGCCGTGCACTTGTAAAATGGATGTGGAGACTTTCCAGGTCCACCTGGTGCCCTCTGTGCTGTGTAAATGAATGCACAACTTGCAGGTCAGGGGAGAGTAATGCTCATTTAACTCAGATGAGTGAAGGTTCAAGATTTCAATCACTGCTCCATGATTGAGCAACTGGACTTTCATGTATAATGAGCCTCTTCTGAAATTCTCCCACTGCTGCTACAACTGTTGCGGAGGTCTAGAGGGTAGAGCTGCCACCTGCATTACTAGGCACTGCTCACATTAGAGCTCGACAGCAAGGTGGTAAACACATGGGTGGCAGCAGAGCCGTAGTTTCAGGAGCTGTTTTGTGCAGGCAAGGCAGAGCTGTAACAGAGCCTCAGTGTGCATGAGCTCCTGTTTTGCAATTTTATATGAGAATGAATCATCTGACACATGAGGTTGCCACACATCTGCAAATCCAGTAAGGTCAGCTGCATGTAATGGATTTGTCTGTCTCTTTAAGGGGCAGACCTGAACAGGTGTTATACTCCCCGATATTTTTGAATGTACATGGTACCTATATGTGAGAGTTTATCTGTAGGCTGCTTGCTTTCTGTTCAACTCTCAAACATGACTCGTAAAGAATAATAGAAAATGGAGCAGGGAGAGATTAGGAGGGGCCATATCTTGGGCCCCAAAGCCAAGAAGGCTCATTACTGAAATATAAAAATGGCCTTACCGTGTCAGCCTGGAGATGTATGGAGATCTGCTGCTGCCACTGTCAGGGGCAGGTGCCTATAGAGCAGCAGGAGACCAGGGCCAGTGGACAGTTGTGCTTGGAGGTACTGTCCCCACTTCCAGCCTCCTGTACTCAGGGTATCTTCGTGCTTAATGAAACTGCAGGCTTGTCTGGGATTTAAGCCCTTCACCAAGGGTCGTACTCTAACCCCACACAGCAGATAACAGTGGGCTTTCTGAGCATGAGGCATGATGCACAGCTCTCCTAACCTGCTGAGCTGGAAGAAAGGCAGCGATGGGTAACTCCAGCCTTGCAAAAGGCCTGGCCAGTACCTACAGTCCTGACACAGGCATGTCCCCTACCGCAGTCTTGCCTTGCAGAGCAGGGTTGAGCCCCTGAACTGAGGCCCTCAAGTAACCCCTGCCTCCGTTCTGCATTTTGGATGCTTCTAGCCCTTGGACTTTGCCTGCAACTCTACCATCGACCAACTCCTAAGCAGCAAAGCAAGCTGACCCCTTGCTAACCATGCTGCTTCCCCACTCATCCTACTGCCCCATGGAGCTGGTGGCCACAATACTTACCTGCAAAGTCTGAGCAAGGAACCAACACCTAAGGGATGTAAGCCATTGGCAGTTCTAAATATGTGTTGCTTGAGAAATGAGGAGAAGGCTGATGCCAGCTAGTTTACCTGGGTACCACCAAGAGTCACATCAGCACCATCAGTTCCTTTCACTAGTGGGAGGTGGCCCATGTATGGCCAAAGAGGACAAACAGGAGGAGAAGACAGCATGAGTGGAGTTCACTCTAGAAAAGGTGATATCTATTAACTACTTCATTGCTCTTCTCAATGAATAAATACGCCAAAATTATTCCTGGGAGACGTTTGTGCGATAAAAACTTCCAGAGGTGGCTACTCTGCATTGTCCTTAGCAATCTATCCCAGTACTTAATTATAATTTTCATTAAAAAAGGTTTTCATGAAGCTTAAACTAAATCTCCTCACTGCAGGCAAAAGCTGCTCCATTATTTCTTTTCCCACCAGCAGCAGGCATAGGAAACAGACTATTGCTTTTCTTTAAAGCAGGCAGCCTTTTCCATATTTCAGGACTGTTACCATCTGACCTCTTGAACCTCTCTTGCTTAGCTTAATCATCTCTAAGTCTTTCCTCACTGGCATGCTCGTTAAATTTCTCCCCATACGTGGTTACCTTCTCTGGTTATTTTTGGCTGCTCCACCTCTTTCTTTAAGTTTGATGCCCAGAACTGGACAAAGAATCCCAGAGGAAGTCTCACCACTGCTGAGCACACTGAATATACTTATTGCAGGTTATCGTACCATGGGGTAAATGATTCACAGAACCAAGCAAATACCTTCCTTGAGTATGTTAAAGGCATTGCACTTCTATTATTCCAGGCCTCAAGACCACCAGCTTTCCTGCGTTGTGGGACTTAACCGTTGACAGTACATTGACCAGCTGGGGGTCTAATGCAAATTTCCTTGCTGCAGTTTCGCCTTTATTGCTAGATACCTGAGGGTAATAAGAAGAGACCCCAGAGAAATCCTTGGCTCCAACAGTAGCAGAAATCAATGTCTGGAAATAGGAATATGATAGTTCTCCTCCCAATATATCCTTTTGTTGTTTTACTCACTCATAGATTCTGCATCCACATTACATTATTTTTACTCTTCTCCATCCCTTCAGTGTCTCTGTTAATTTCCCACTGCTGTGTCAGATGCTTTAATGAGGTCCAAATGGATTAGATTTTCTCACTTTTATTTTCTAGAAAATGTTACCAAACAAAAACTGCATCTATTTTTGCTAACTCCATGCTGCATTTTATTTAACTTTCCATTTACTTCTAGGTATTTATTCTTTTCTTCAT